CATCCGGGAGCATGAATCACCCAATGCCATCTACGTCCACTGCTATGGCGAAGGCAGTGAAGACTGTATTCGTGGCTGGAAAAACATTACTCATGAAAAGCTGAGTAGGAAAATAAATAAATCATTTGCTTTTCTAAGATAGCGTCTGGAGAAATGGGATATATATCAAAAATTGGAAACCGTGGGCTGTAACTCTCGAGTTGAAACTCATTTTGCATGCTCAAACCATACATTTTCTTTTCGAAACAGCGACAAGCTTCATCTCTTAGTTATAGCTCGCCTCGGAGCAGTCAGTTTGGCTTTCTATTTCGAAATGATTTTCTGCTGCCTTAAATCAGTGCTTATTCCTCTTACTTTCTTTCTGCAGCTATAGAAGAGCTTGATGATAAGGGCTAGGGCCTCGAATCATGCCAGCTAACCACAAACGTGAATACCTCGTGCATGGTCAGTTCATCTCTTTACAACAGCTGAGTTGACATCACTCCAAATGGAACCTACAATCACTCATCCTTTGGTCTCCTGTAAATGATTTGATGAAATAAAGTTGAAGGATCACAAACATACATCAACAAAGTTCTGCGTTAAACAAGTGACTGGTTGTGGAATCATTGTTATCCCGACTTTTGTCCCCATGCAGGCTTTGAGGCTCATGAGGGGGGTGCAGGAAGCCTCGCACTAGGAGCCTCAAATATACCATCGTAAGTTTCTATATGCTATGGCTCCATTTCTCCATCCTCGCACGTCCAAAGCAGATTATAGTTCGATAGCAAAGTCCGCATAAGAGTAATCCCTCGTCAGCCTCGTATTTGAATGCAACAAAAAGCAGCATATGCTCGTCTGGGGTGATCTGGATCAACCTCGCTTCCCAAGATCATGTTTGCGTCATGAGCTCGTATTGTTGCAGAAGAGTCTATGGGCAATACCAGTGTGTCTAGCTAAGAAGTAGAACCTTATGCACGTTGGCTACTTGCAGTAATGTATGCCCAATACAGTTCTTGTGAACGAATTCGCTTGCGTAATCACCACTTGGCACCTGATTCAGATAGATGCTGCTGAACACCTAGGTTTGGTTACATTCGGTTTCTTGAGTGGCTGTTAGCCATGGGGACAATCATCATCGCCGAACATATCATTATGATCAACCATAGTGGGATCACAATCTTAAGCTTGAGTGTTTCTGATGGATCCCTAATGTGAAATGTGGACTCTGTTTTCGGGGTCCAACTCCGAATACAAGAATGTGGTTGCTTTGATCTTTGAAGGATTGAAGTTCAATACTTTGCTGGTGCTTGATTGGAGAGTGTTTTGTTTCTTGTAGCTGATGAGAACCTGCTATATACTATCTGATCATGACCTTCAAGGCGTGTAGACTGTAGCTTTAACTTTACGAAACCTGACACATGTAGTTCTTGGCGAAGAGAATTGTTCGCCTTACAGACATCAGAGACAATATGGACTCACTTTGGATATTGGATGACCAAGTCGAGAATTGACATTTGATTCAAAGTCTGTCGCCGGTACTTTTTTCAACGCGTTAAAAAAAATCGTTACAATGTTCATACAAAATTTGGTCAGCTGTTATGGTCCACGTTTATAAGACCTGCATACTGTGTCCGAGAATGTAGTTAGTACTGCGACTGGTGCTAACGACCTGTAGCGCTGGGCCTGATTTTTGAAAATGACCTTTTTTGGCGTGATATGCTGTACACCAAATGCACTTTACCTCTTCACAAAGCAGGATACAAGGGTTTGCATGTACCATGGTTCACTTTCAAGCAGTTCTCAAGATATTTGCATGCAACTTATCTTCTTATGAAAGTACCTTCCTAGTTATATATGTAATGAAATAGAGTTGATTTAAAGCTTAATTGCATTTGAACTCAACCTCCAGCATATTCTCTTTCTAAGATTTTCACAATCCTACCGAATTCTCGAATTGTTCAAACTGTATACAAAGTTAGTCCATACAGTCTTTGATGTCTGTAAGGCGAAAAACTTTCTCAGCCGAGAATAACATGCATCAGGTTAAAGTCAGAGCTAGAATGTAGAAGCCTTCCAGGTTATGATCAGAGAGTATATAGTAGGTTGTCATCAGCTGCTAGACACAAGGCACTCTCCAATGAAGCAGCAGCAAGTCTCTCAAAGATCAAAGCAATCACTTTCTTGTTTCCGCAGTTGGACCCCGAAAACAGAATCCACATTTCACAGTAGGAAACCATCAGAATCATCAAGCTAAAGAGTGTGATCTCACTATGGCTGATTTTAATGATATTTTTGGCTATGATGATTGGCCCCCATGGCTTTCAGCCATTTTAGAAACCCAATGTCACCATATATCTGAATCAGCAGCATGTATCTGAATCAGGGGCCAACTGGTGATTAGGCAAGCGAATTCGTTTACAAGAACCCGTTCTGTATACATTACTGCAAGTAGCGCCCGTGCATAAAGCTATACTTAGTGGCTAGACATGGAGGTGTTGCCCTTAGACTCTTCTGCAAGAATGCGAGCTCATGACGCCAACATGATCTTGGGCAGCGAGGTAGATCTTGATCAACCAAGACAACAATATGCTGCTCTTTGCTGCAATGAGATGCGAGGCGGATGAGCGAGTACTCGTATGCTGACTTTGCTTTCGAATTATGATCTGCTTTGGCCGTGCGATAATGGAGAAATGGAACCATAGCACATAGAAACTTACGAAGGTCTATTGGACGCTGCTTGTACGAGGCCTCGATTGCACCCCCTCACGAGACTCAAAGTGGGGATAACAATGACTACACAATCAGTTACTTGTTTAAGGAAGATCGTTGTTGCTATCTGTTCTTGCTCCTTGAACTTTATTTCATCACATCAATTACTGGAGACCAAAGAATGAGTGATTGTAGGTTTTGAGTTGGAGTGAGGTAAGCAAAGCTGTTATAAAGGGATCAACTGACCTTGCACGCGCTATTGACAGTTGTGGCTAGATGGGATGATTCGGAGCCCAAGCCCTTATCATCAAGATCTTGTATAGCTGCAAAAAGAAAATAAGTGGGAGTAGCATTTTTAGGGCAGCAGAAAATCACTTCGAAACAGAAAGCCAAACTGAATGCTCATAGGCGAGGTATAGCCAAGAGGTGAAGTTTGTCGCACTTTCGAACAGAACAAAAATGAGCATCATAATGACGATCGAGAGCTTCAAGTCCGGAGACCCCGTCAAGGGTTTCCAACTTCTTGCACATGGTGGTATCATTCTGTTACTTAGAAAACTTCACGTTATGCACTCTACAGGAAACGATACTAACAAACGACATCAGAGCGCTGCTTGTGATTTGTTTGAACTTTTTGTGGCGACTAACGTGAAACATCTTTTAAATAAAATTACTAACTGGGGAGAGAGTTACACAAACTCCATGATTCTTCTCTTGTTTCCCCTTATCGTCTGATTTCAAAACAAACGACGCCGATGATCATATCCAGCGAATGGGATGTGGTCTGGAACATCGTCACAGTGGCACATGCCCCAGATTCAGGTCAATTCACAAAGCTTTGCGATCGTGCGCTCAGGATCTTCTGGTACCTTAATTGATTGAATAAATGAATCTCTTGCCTACTTCTTCCCTGGCCAGTTTCCAGCTATAGCAGTAGACTGACCATTGGCATCATTCTGAAGGGAGTGAAGTGTAATTTGTAGCGAACTTTTCTGTCACGAAGAAAGGTCTCATCAGGAGCGGTGAACAAAACTTCCACAGTACTAGGCAGAGCTGTAAATTGAAATAAGCATGACCATGACATGGCCATTTTGCATTCGAAATCGCCTGCAAGAAGTTCATGAGCACTTTTTGTTTTCCACTTGGAATGTGGAAATATAAATCAGTGGATCTAGTAGGTAGTTAGGGTCTGTGGCGCGAGAATTGATGCATTTTCCGATGCACTACTGCTGGAGTGTTCGTTTGAGCTGGTCTTTATACACCTGATTGAGGTGTGTCGCCTCGAATTCATTAATCAGACATGTCGCTAACTCTGTTCAGGATAATAGATAGCAAATGAAATGCTCTCACGCTGAGATTGCGAGCTGATGAGTTGTTGTAATTCGTATCAGGAGAACGCTCCATGTTTCATCATTAGGCAATGCAACGATCTTCCCTTAAGTATTATAAGATCATTGATATGATTTCATCTGTTTCAAGACCGGAGGATATCCGCCTCCAGCCCTTGAAGTCAGCTGAAAGATGATGATCGATAGTCTTGCCAAGAGTTCCCACCTACTGATGCAACAGAATTGAGCTTCTCCTAGAGCATCTTCTGTGTAGCTTCAGAACGCTCGTAGTGCAACAAACCGAGTAAAGTTATGAGTTGTTGCTTATAATCCAAACATAAGCAGCCATGATTTGAGCAGACCACTAGAATTTGTATTCTTCGATTAAAAAAGGCCGACTTGGAGGGCATCTTCTTGTCTACCGTTGTAGCAGCTCATCTTCTTGTGTGTTCGGACATTGAATATTTAGCACTAAAATAAAGACGATGTCCAAGTTGATATCAACTCTTTGGGTATACAAATGATTTATCATGGATTATTTCAAGCACTTCTCAATTATTTGTGAACGGAAAATTATATTGCACAAAGGGCAAACACGATGCATGTGAGACTTTTGCTGATTTTGGAGAAGCAAATTATTGTAGTAGAAATTTCTGTCTTAAAGGTGACCACCCCGACGTCTATAGTGAAGGGATTTCATCATGGTGGGTTTAGGGTTTAAACCTAAACCAAACACTGGGCTTCTACAGAAACAAAACTGCGCAACTGACGTTCATTCAAAGATTTTAAGAGACTGCTACTGTTGAAAACTGTAAGGAAGATCTTGCAGAGTTGTATATTGCATGAGGGTCTAAACATATGCTTGTCAATAATTGCAAAATGACATTCTAAACTTTTAAAATTCCTAACGTGTCAAACTGCCAGACCTAAGACCTTTATTCAGACACTTCTCGCACACCCATGCATGCCCAGCTACTTCTAGATTCAAGTAATTCACCTGATACAACTTGAAGATTACAGAATAGCCATTTTCAAGCTGAGGCGCAAGAATTTGCAGAGTTGTATATTGCCTGAGGTTCTAAACATATGCTTGTCAATTGCATAGTGGCATTCTAACCTATTCAACATCCTAACAATGTCAAATCTCCACAACGACGACCCTTGATCATGCACTTCTCGCACACCCATGCATGCCCAGCTACTTCTAGATTCAAGTATTTCACTTGATACAAATTGAAGATTTTGGAATAGCGATTTTCAAGCTCAGGCGCAAGAATTTGCTGAATCCTTAACCATGCTTCTTGCAGCTCCTTGCTCTCCCCACCTGTTCGAAATTCCCTATGATCAATACCGTCTAGTGTGACAATAGCAGGTTCTAAATCTTCCCCATCCGGAATAGCTTGGCCTAAATTGTAAGTCTTATGCAGTCCAGACTTCACAGCATAATATATGACTTTGTATGAAATTTCAATAATTTTCTGAATCCACGACCTATTCTTCGAATCCAAGCGTATTCTCAAACCTTCTTGATCTTCGACAGTGTGAAACCCACTCACGGACTCACACATAAAGTGCAAGCGAATAATTGTCCCGTTATCCAAATGTGCACTCATCTTATAGAAAAGTCCAACATCGTTTGTGACATAAGGTCGCTTTGGCGTTCTAGTATTCACAAGCGCTGTAGAATACTCAATGATTCTGTCCACTTTAGATATGAAGGCACTCAACGTGGACTGCAGTTGTTGGTGCCGAGAGAGTATCTGTCCCCTCGTCATCTCCATGCCATCTCTCAGCTCAATGCTCGCACTTGATCTCAATATCTCATCCAAACCTCCTCTTATCTGATCGAGCTCAAACGAAATAAGTTGGGTCGAACGATTCTCCACACTTTTGCTGGATCCGCTCAAGCGCCTGGATGTAGATGGTTTGCAGAACTGAGCCAAATCATTCTCCACGCTAAATAAACCTTTCTGCAATGACTCCAATCGCTGCATTTGTTTTTGTCGAATCTCATTCACAACCGCTTCCACATCGCTCTCGCACAGCAACTCCGTCGCTCTTTCGCTTGTGTACTCTGATGTGTGCCCTTCTATTAAGGGCCAAAAGTGCTCATAGCTTAACAACTCTTCTTCAGTCAAGTGCAGACTTCCCAACGGCATTTCCTCAAGTTTGTCATTGATGCTATGAATGAAGTCCGATTTCAGCGTCTCGACTAGAATGGCTTGTCTAAGATGACTCGGATACAGCCGCTCCACGCAAAGTGTTTGGATCACACCGCGCTCTAACGCCACCTCGGAACAACCTTTTGGTGATGCGCAAAATGATATCAACTCTTGGATGATATGCTTCATCACGTATTTCAGAGCTGTCTTTCTTGACTTATACTTCGAGCATAACATCAGAACATCCACATATTTGTAGGATGTGCCTTGCTCCACATAAATTTCATGCCCGTCAAGGATAGTGCACAGATAATGGCGAGTGCAAGTCACAATCTCCTTGGGTACATGCATCTCCGATATCAACTTGCTTCTCATGAACATCTGCAATGATACCAAATTTGGTAAATATTGAAATTTGAATCTCAAAAATTGAAATCAACATATGAAAAATGAACATTCTATTCATAGTGCACAAACTACAATGAGAACCTGACACAAGCACTTTTCTCACAGTATATATAAATTCATGATTCAATCTCACCTGGAAGCATGGAAAAAAACCTGCGGTGAATGACATTGTTCTTGCATCTTGGCATTGAATCCGGATGCCCACAAATTGTGAAGACTTAACTCTACTTTGCCAAGCCATTGACTCTACCGCCGACCCTTCAGGTATGAAGGAGGGAATAAAATACTGAGAAGAATCTTCGAGCTTGAAACACAAATCCAAATTGATAAGGATGTTTTCGATCACATGTCTGTCTACAATCTTCTCTACGTGTGGTTGCTTTTTTAGAAACTCTTCTATCAACCGAGCAAAGATACTCTCACTCACAAATCCGTTTGTGCTTGTGTATGATCTATTTCTATCAGAATACTTAGACTTTTGATCCAAACCTATGACCTTACCCAAGAATGTATTCGTGAGCCAATTCGGATTCACGATGATATAATCAAGGTTGGGAATATGAACTATGGATCCAACTTCATTCAAATATAATATGATAGAACGAATTATACTTGAATGATCAACGGAGTGAGCAGAAGAAGATGGAATAAGTTTTTTCAAGCTAGGGGCACAGAAGTCACAAAATCTTTGATATGTCCAAATAGGGCAAGTTATGTGCTCCTTGGTGTTTGTAACCAAGAGGGAGGAGAGTTGAAAACACAATTTAGGAACCCGTGGGGACTTTTCACTCAACAATTTTTCAAAGATATGAAAAATGTGATTTTTGAGAGGAACAACTTGGTTCTTCTTTCGAGCATCTATATAAGAACACTCTTGAATAGGAAGGACATCCACAAAGTTTGCAAATCTTTTGGTCAGATATTCCATTCTGTCGTGAGCCCAACTCAGAGACGTGCTTGTGGCTTTATCCTTGTGTGAAATCACAACAAGAACTTGTGGAAGATTATGTCCTGTGACCCTAGTGCAGGATGTGATCAAATTCAACCAATCCTCCAACTCTGATTGCAAACAGTGGTCTGGCTTGGACGAGGTTTTCTCACAGAAAGTACTATACACAAAGAGAAATAGAGAAAAGTTGCTGGTTCGAGGAAAGAGCACATTTTGAAGAGTACGAAAAATTTCTTGTCCCGGAACATCCCAAATTGAGATTTGCTTATCCTCATTGTTTTGTAAAAACTCCACTTGAATTCCTGTAGTTTTGAACAACTCCGGAAATTTATCCTTAAGCCAACTCTTGCCTTGAACTTTCCCCATCAAGGTTTGACGCAATTGAGTCTTGCCTGATAAATTTACCATAGATATCACACATGAAACATTGAAAACTTGTTATGAATTTATTTTCACAAAATACCTGAAACCATATTTTTTAATCATATTGTGTAAATAAATAGAAATTTTCAAATTTCACATCAAAGTCTAAAATCAAAAGCAGAAAATTTTAGAAAGAAAATCTTAGATGGCTAGTTTTTATGCATTGAGACAAAAATTAAGAGCTGACAGAGGACCTCACCTGCTAGAGGAGAGCCGCATAAAAAGATTCGACCTGCTTTTGCATCTCCAAATGCTAATCTGGCCTCTCGGAACACGGCCATGTAGACACCCCGCTTCTGGTTCTGCTCGAGGGCCATTTGAATCAGCGTCGCCTTTCCGTCTATTGCCCATGAGGTTCCTGATACATCTATTTGCTTGAGAGTCAAGTTGACTTGCAAGACACCCATCAGTTCCTTGAACGCCTCGTCATCGAGTCCGGAGTTACACAAATCCAAGTGAGTGACACTTGTATTCTCCCGCAAGCAACAAAGCAGGTACTTCCACACTCCCTTCAAATTATCTTTGCTGTCAACATATAATCTCAGTCTCTTCAGGACTGAAGTTTCTCCAAGATTTCCATCCATGGGGACGATACTTTCCATTCTATCCTGGTTGCTGCCTGAAGGGCAAGAACATTCTAGAATTAGAATCAAAGATTCTACAGATTTGATGTTTCCGCGCAATACCCTAACCACAAAGTTGAGTGCTGACATATATGCATTGTAATCGTAAAATGTGATTATCATCTCCATTCTGGGGTCCTTGTTAGTGGAGCTAGCAGCACACGCAAGCTCTTCTACTCCCTTGAAGTCATCTTTGTGACGAATGGAATGGGTTACGCGAATAGTTCTTGCTGTAGCATTCTCGCGTATGGCTTCGCCCAGTTGGCGCCCTTCCTCGGGACGCATGTCGAAGGCGGTCAACGTCACTTCCTTCACGTATGTGTTGGATCTCAGAATTTCTCGTAAACAGTCTCCCAGTCCAGACACGGAAATTAGATGAAGACATTCAATAGTTTGATTGCCATCATCTGCATTCAATGCTTTTAGCAAGAAGGCCGACGCTTCATCCTTCACCTCCTTCAGAACCAATTTTTTTAAAGACCAGCTCCGCATCAAAGCATGCGACAGGGTTGTAGTGGCCTCCTCATCCATGTCGTACAGGCGGCCCCCTGAATCCCCTATTTCCAAAGTTTCTAATCGAGTAGCACATTTGATCATGTCAGCCATATGCTTCACCACACTGGAGTCCTCCCATGCATCACGTAGTTCTAAAGACTCGAGCTCAGACTCAGACAGTCTGTCATACAGTCCGGATGCGAGATTCAAGAAACATCTGGCATTCAATCTGCAATTGACTATTCTCAAATCTTTCACACTAGAAAAATTCAAAATTCTCCCCAGCTGTAAACATAAGTTCTCCACTTCCGCAAGTGAGCTCCATCTCAATCCTTCAACTCTTATCGCTCGTAGAACGGTGCTCCACCTAAAACCTCTCAAAAGTAATTCCCACTCGCTAGCCGTCAACCTCGATATATCTCCGCCAAAAATATCTTGTACATCCAGAGAATGAAAGGTGTTGCAGCTGCCGATTGCCTCCAGCACTCGAAGGCGCACTTCTCCTCGCCACCCTTTGATCGTCGAGAGCGATGCAGGTTCCGGAAAAAATTCCTGAAATTCTGGAGAGCTTAATGTGGAAAGCCACGGTAAAGGCTGGGCTCTGCCTTCCAGACGCCATATAAGGTCCTTGACAGCGGAAGGAAGAAGCCCCGGTTCCTCGTCTTCCGAGTCCATTCCCCTAGTCGCAAGTTCAGCAGCGTCGTCACTGACGATGGACACATCTGCAGCTTTGATTGTCTGCTCCCTTGTCAGATAGGAAGAATTTTTGCCTCGCGGCCTCTTGTCCACTTCGGAAGGAAGAAGCCCCGGTTCCTCGTCTTCCGAGTCCATTCCCCTAGTCGCAAGTTCAGCAGCGTCGTCACTGACGATGGACACACCTGCAGCTTTGATTGTCTGCTCCCTTGTCAGATAGGAAGAATTTTTGCCTCGCGGCCTCTTGTCCACTTCGGAAGGAAGAAGCCCCGGTTCCTCGTCTTCCGAGTCCATTCCCCTAGTCGCAAGTTCAGCAGCGTCGTCACTGACGATGGACACATCTGCAGCTTTGATTGTCTGCTCCCTTGTCAGATAGGAAGAATTTTTGCCTCGCGGCCTCTTGTCCACTTCGGAAGGAAGAAGCCCCGGTTCCTCGTCTTCCGAGTCCATTCCCCTAGTCGCAAGTTCAGCAGCGTCGTCACTGACGATGGACACACCTGCAGCTTTGATTGTCTGCTCCCTTGTCAGATAGGAAGAATTTTTGCCTCGCGGCCTCTTGTCCACTTCGGAAGGAAGAAGCCCCGGTTCCTCGTCTTCCGAGTCCATTCCCCTAGTCGCAAGTTCAGCAGCGTCGTCACTGACGATGGACACATCTGCAGCTTTGATTGTCTGCTCCCTTGTCAGATAGGAAGAATTTTTGCCTCGCGGCCTCTTGTCCACTTCGGAAGGAAGAAGCCCCGGTTCCTCGTCTTCCGAGTCCATTCCCCTAGTCGCAAGTTCAGCAGCGTCGTCACTGACGATGGACACACCTGCAGCTTTGATTGTCTGCTCCCTTGTCAGATAGGAAGAATTTTTGCCTCGCGGCCTCTTGTCCACTTCGGAAGGAAGAAGCCCCGGTTCCTCGTCTTCCGAGTCCATTCCCCTAGTCGCAAGTTCAGCAGCGTCGTCACTGACGATGGACACATCTGCAGCTTTGATTGTCTGCTCCCTTGTCAGATAGGAAGAATTTTTGCCTCGCGGCCTCTTGTCCACTTCGGAAGGAAGAAGCCCCGGTTCCTCGTCTTCCGAGTCCATTCCCCTAGTCGCAAGTTCAGCAGCGTCGTCACTGACGATGGACACACCTGCAGCTTTGATTGTCTGCTCCCTTGTCAGATAGGAAGAATTTTTGCCTCGCGGCCTCTTGTCCACTTCGGAAGGAAGAAGCCCCGGTTCCTCGTCTTCCGAGTCCATTCCCCTGGTCGCAAGTTCAGCAGCGTCGTCACTGACGATGGACACACCTGCAGGTTTGATTGTCTGCTCCCTTGTCAGATAGGAAGAATTTTTGCCTCGCGGCCTCTTGTCCACTTCAGAATTGATAGCACTCAGCATTGCTGTAGTCATCTCTGAGTGCTTTGTCTGCAGTTCTTGCTGCAGCAGATACTCTCTCTGCAGAGAGAGGATCTGTTCCATCTTCATCTCCATCATCTCCAATCTCTGCAGAGAGAGTGTCTCTCCAATCTTCATCTCCTTCATCTCCAACCTCTGCATCTCCATATCCAGGATATGTATATCCAATCTCAGAACAATTCCGGTCGAACGATTTTCCACACTTGTGCTTTCCTGACTCAACCACTTGGATGTAGATGGTTTGTAATCTTTCATTGTGCTTGCCTGACTCAACCAGCTCGATTGAGCCAAATCACTGTCCACGCTATTTAGACCTTCCTGCAATGACTCTAACTTTTGAATTTGTTTCTGTCGAATGCAATTCACAACCGCTTCCACATCGCTCTGCCACAACAAATCCCTAGCTCGTTCGGATATTCCGCTTTCATACGGAGCCCAACGGTGCTCATAGTTGAACAACTCTTCCTTCTTCACCAAGTGGGAACTTTCCAACGTCATTTCTTCAAGTTTGTCATTGATGCTACGAATGAAGTCTGATTTCAGCTTCTCGATCAGAATTGCCTCTCTCAGATGACTCGGATTCAGCATCTCCACGCAAAGTGTTTGGATTACACCGAGCACTAACGCCACACCGGGACATCCGTTGGTTGATGCGCAAAATGATATCAACTCCCCGACAATATGCTTCATCATGTATCTCCGCGCCAGCTCCTTCTTACGCTTTGAGCATAACATGAGAACATCAACATACTCGTGGTTCCTTCCTTGCTGGACATAAATTTGATGTCCATCCAAGAAGAGTCGCAGATACTGACGAGAGCAAGTCACAGACTCCTTGGAAACATCGATCTCGGAAATCAACTTGCGTCTCATGAACATCTACAATGATAGAAAATTAGTGAAATGTTCAGTGAGACATTCCAATAATTTAGGAAAATTGATAGGATGGAAACATTCTATTCATCATATGCAAATTACAATCAGAACTTGACACAAACAATATCTTTAGTGTATTTGAAATCATGATTCAAACTCACCTGGAAGCGTAGAAAAAAAGCAGCAGTAAGTGACATTGTTCTTTCATCTTGGCATTGAATCCGAATGCCGACAAATTGTGAATTGTCATCCCTATTGTACCAATCCATCGACTGATGACCCCGTTCTTCATGCTTCTGTTTCTCCATGCTTGCACGCTTAGAGTCAAAAGAAGGAATGACATGCTGAGAAGTATCTTCACCATCTTCTTCTTCATCTTTTCCTTCTTCATTTTCTCTTTCTCCATCATCTTCTTCACAAGAGAAGAAGATGGATTCATCTTCTTCATCTTCTCCATCATCTTCTTCACAAAAGAAGAAGATGGATGTATCTTCTTCATTTTTTCCTCCACCTTCTCCATCTTCATCTTCTTCACAAGAGAAGTAGATGGATTCTTCATCTTCTCCTCCACCTTCTTCATCTTCATCTTTTCCATCTTCTTCTTCATCTTCTCCTTCTACACCATGTTCATCTTCTCCTTCATCTTCTCCTTTTCCATCATCTTCTCCTTCTTCATCTTTTTCGTCTCCTTCTCCATCTTTTCCATCATCTTCTTCATCTTTTCCATCATCTTCTCCTTCTCCATCTTTTTCGTCTCCTTCTCCATCTTTTTCATCATCTTCTTCATCTTTTCCATCATCTTCTCCATCTTCATTTTGAGATTGAATTCGAATGCCGACAACCTGTGAAGTATCATCCATATTTTGCCCATACATCGACTCATGTGCCCCTTCTTTATGCTTCTGTTCCTCCATGCTTGCACGTTTAGAGTCAAAAGAAGTAATGATACACTGAAAAGAATCTTCACCATCTTCATCACAAGAAGAAGAAGATGAAGATGCATCTTCTTCATCTTCTACTTCTCCATCTTCTTTTTCATTTTCTCCTTCTCCATCTTCATCTTTTCCATCTTCTTCTTCAGCTTTTCCTTCTTCAGGCCTGTGTTTCTCCATGCTTGGATTCTCAGGGATGAAGCAAGCAAGGAAATACTCAGAAGTATCTTCCAGCTTGTCACACAAAAGTAAATTGATGAGGATGTTTTCAAGCATCTCTCTATTCACACCTTTCTGTCCATGTGGTTGTTTTCGTAGAAACTCCTCTGTCCACCGAACAAAGACACTCTCACTCACATATCCGTCCTTGCTTGTGTCACAGCTTGATCCATCAAAAGATTCGGTCTTTTGAGCTTGAAAGTGTTGACCCAAATCACTCAAAAGTGTATGTGTCAGCCAGTTGGGATCCACAATAATGTACTCGACGTTGGGTATGTATATGATGGATCCAACATCATTCATATAAGATATGATTGATCTAATTATCCTTGAATGATCAACAGAGGGAGTAGGATTGAATTTTCTCAAGATGGGATCACAAAAGTCATGAAACTCTTTGGATGACCAAACAGGGCACTTTCCCTTTTTGGTTTGTGTAACTAAGCAGGATGTGAGTTTGGAACACAAATGGGGAACCCGTGGAGAATTTTCTGTCAAGAACACCTTCAAGATGTTAAAAATGTGATCTTTGACAGGAAGAACTTGCTTCTGTTCCCGAGCATCCACATGAAACCACTCTTGGTTGAGCTTCACAACATTTGTGAAGCTTGTTGTGACCTCGTCCACTCTGGTATTAGCCCAAGTGAAAGATTTGTCTTTGACTTTATCCTTGTGTGACATCACAACAAGAACTTGTGGAGGACTATATCTAGTGTGGGATGTGATAAACCTGATACATTTTTTCAACTCTTCCAGAAAACAATTATCAGGTTTGATGCTAGATGTTCTCTGACAAAAGGGGCTATACACAAATTGAAAAATACAAAAGTTGGAGGTTTGAGGGAAGATCTCATGTTGAGGGGTAACAAAATCCCAAATTGAGATTTGCATTGAGTCTGAGATTCTCTCAGACTTTCGCACAAACTGTTCCACAAATTTTGTGGAAAAGTTTCGAACTTTGCTCGAACTTTGGATTATCTTCATCAGGGTTCGACGCAGTCGAGTCTTGCCTACAAATTGAAGAAAAAAAATAACAACAAATACCCCTTGTTACTTAACATATTTTTACAAATGCTTTGACATAATGTTAATTAAGAAACAATGTGATGAGATATTTGTTTCCAAGAATTTCTTCTTTCACAAAAGAGTTGAAACTATCTACACGTTCTATCTTGAATCGCATTCTGTATGCTTTTATATTCTTCCCTTTCCGTCATAAATTTCAGAAAATTTCCAATATTTCTCGATCAAAACCTAAACTTGAAAACTTTAAATCTAATTTTAGAAAGTAAACATTGAGAAAAAGAACTGAGAACTGACAGAGCACCTTACCTGCTCTAGGAGAGCCGCATAAAAATAGTTGACCAGCTTTTGCATCTCCAAATGTTAATTCTGCTTCTCTGAAGACGGACATGTACGCGGCCCGCTCCTGGTTCTGCTTGAGCAACTCTTCAATCTTCGCCGACTTCCCCTCGTTTGCCCATGCGGTTCGTGAGACATCTATTTGCTGGAGCGTCAAATTCACTTGCAACATACCCATCAGTTCCCTGAACGCCTCGTCATCGAGTCCGGAGTTACACAAATCCAAGTGAGTGACACTTGTGTTCTCCCGCAAGCAACAAAGCAGGTACTTCCACACTCCCTTCAAAGTATCTCTGCTTTTAACAAATAACTTCAGTCTCTTCAGGACTGAAGTTTCTCCAGGATTTCCATCCATGGGGACCTTACTTTTCTTTATATCATGGTTGCTGCCTGAAGGGCAAGAACATTCTAGAATTAGAATCAAAGATTCTAGAGATTTGATGTTTCCGCGCAATACCCTACCCACAAAGTCGAGTGCTGACATCAATGCATCGTAATTCTTGAATGTGATTATCAGCTCCACTGTGGGGACCTTGACATCAAAGCTAGCACCACACGCAAAGTCTTCAACTCCCTTCTCTGTGAAGGAATCTTTGTAATCCATGGAATGGATTACGCGAATAGTTCTTGCTGTAGCATTCTCGCTTATGGCTTTGCCCAGTTGGTGCCATTTCTCGGGAAGCAAGTCGATGGCGGTCAACGTCACTTCCTTCAAGTATGGGTTGGATCTCAGAAGTTCTCCTAAACAGTCTCCGAGTCCAGACATGAATGTTAGATGAAGACATTCAATAGCTTCATTGCCATAACGTGCATCGAATGCCCTCAGCAAGAAGGCCGACGCTTGGCCCTTCACCTCATTTAGAACCAATTTTTTCAAAGACGAGTTTTTGATTAAAGCCTGTGACAAGATTTTTTTGTCATTCTCATCCATGTTGTACATGTCCCCCCCTGAACGCCCTATTTCCAAAGTTTCTAATCGAGTAGCACTGTTGATCATGTGAACCACTTGGTGCACCGCATCCGAGTACCCCGGCTTCCATGCATTATGTAGTTCTAAAGACTCGAGTTTAGACTTGTCACTTTCTCGCAGTCCTGATTCGAGATTCAAGAAACATGTGGCACTCAATCTGCAATTGACTATTGTCAAAACTTCCACACTGGAGTTCTTCAAAATTTCCCCCAGCTCTTTACATAAGCTCTCCACTTCCTCAGGTGAATTCCATCTCAATTCTCTAACTCTTATCGCTCGTAGAATGGTGCTACTCCTAAAACCTCTCAAAAGTATTTCCCACTCCCAACCTAACAACCTCGATATATCTCCTCCAAAAACAATATCTACGTCCAGAGAATGAAAGGTGTTGCAGCTGCCGAATGCCTCCAGCACTCGAAGGCGCACTTTTCTTCGCCACCCTATGATCGTCGAGAGCGATGCATGTTCCGGAAAAAATTCCTGAAGATCTGGAGAGCTTAATCTGAGAAGCCGCCGTAAAGGCTTGGCTTTGTCTTCCAGTTTCTGTATAAGTTCCTGGACAGCGGAAGGAAGCTCCGGTTCCTCGTCTGCCGGGTCCATCTCCTCGCCTGACAAGTCCCACTCCTCGTCTGACGAGTCCATTCCCCTAGTCGCAAGTTGAGCAGCGTCACTGACGATGGACACACCTGCAGCTTCAATTGTCTGCTCCCTTGTCAAACAGCAAGAAAGTTTGCGCGGCTGAAATGTGAACGCGGCTACAGGAGACCCTCTCCTCGATCCGCAGGCTCACGAGGAGAACTAAACTTTAACTCATGTCACAACTCATGTGCATGTGTGTGCTGGGCATGAGAATTCTTGTGTGGTTCAAGAGTAGCGACCCACAGAGAACTCCAAGCTCTGCACATAATCGGATCCAGATCAATAATCATGAAAGGAGTAAGATTGTGCATACCGTAATCTGGAGCAGATCAAACTCAACGGAGGTTAGGAATAGCGATGTCAATCAAAATAAAGCAAAGCAGAGAAGTAGTATCCTGGTTACAAGGGAAATATTAGACCGTGTGCAAAGAGAGAGGTGTTTGATTTTCACTTGGTTACCTTACTGAATGGACAAGCTCATTGCTCTGCAGACGAATCTGAAATCCATGCGAATTCTGGGTGCTGGGCATGAGAATCTTTGCGTGGTTCAAGAGTAGTGACCCGTAGAGTACTCCAAGCTCTGCACATAATCGTATCAATTGCAATAATCACAAAAGCAATAAGATTGTGCATAGTGTAATCTGGAGTCAGATCGAACTCAGAGGATGTTAGGAATAGCGATGTCAATCAAAATTAAGCAAAGCAGAGAAGTAGTATCCTTGTTACAAGGGAAATCTTAGACCGTGTGCAAAGAGAGATGTGTTTGATTTTCACTTGGTTAACTTACTGAGTGGACAAGCTCATAGCTCTGCGGATGAATCTGAAATCCATGAGGATTCTGGGTGCTGGGCATGAGAATCGTTGCGTGTTCAAGAGTAGTGACCCGTAGAGTACTCCAAGCTCTGCACACAATCGTATCAATAGCAATAATCACAAAAGCAGTAAGATTGTGCATAGTGTAATCTGGAGTGAGATGAAACTCAGAGGAGGTTAGGAATAGCCATCTCAATGAAAATAAAGCAAAATAGAGAAGTAGTATCCTTGTTACAAGGAAATCTTAGACCGTGTGCAAAGAGAGAGGTGTTTGATTTTCACTTGGTTACCTTACTGAGTGGACAAGCTCATAGCTCTGCAGATGAATCTGAAATCCATGACGATTCTGGGTGCTGGGCATGAGAATCGTTGCGTGGTTAAATAGTAGCAACCCGTAGAGTACTCCAAGCTCTGCACATAATGGTATTAATAGCAATAATCACAACAGCAATAAGATTGTGCATAGTGTAATCTGGAGTCAGATCGAACTCAGAGGAGGTTAGGAATAGCGATCTCAATCAAAATAAAGCAAAGTAGAGAAGCAGTATCCTTGTTACAAGGGAAATCTTAGACCGTGTGCAAAGAGAGAGGTGTTTGATTTTCACTTGGTTACCTTACTGAGTGCACAAGCTCATAGCTCTGCAGATGAATCTGCAATCCATGAGAATTCTTGGTGCTGGGCATGAGAATCGTGGCGTGGTTAAAGAGTAGCAACCCGTAGAGTACTCCAAGCTCTGCACATAATCGTATCAATAGCAATAATCACAAAAGCAGTAAGATTGTGCATAGTGTAATCTGGAGTCAGATCGAACTCAGAGGAGGTTAGGAATAGCGATCTCAATCAAAATAATGCAAAGTAGAGAAGCAGTATCCTTGTTACAAGGGAAATCTTAGACCGTGTGCAAAGAGAGAGGTGTTTGATTTTCACTTGGTTACCTTACTGAGTGGACAAGCTCATAGCTCTGCAGATGAATCTGAAATCCATGAGGATTCTGGGTGCTGGGCATGAGAATCGTTGCGTGGTTAAAGAGTAGCAACCCGTAGAGTACTCCAAGCTCTGCATATAATAGGATCCAGAGCAATAATCAGGAAAGTAGTAAGATTGTGCATAGTGTAACCTGGAGGCAGATGGAACTCAGCGCAGGTTACCAATTGCTATGTCAATCGAAATAAAGCAGAGAAGTAGTATCCTGGTTACAAGGGATATTTTAGACCCTATGCAAAGAGAGAGGTGTTTGATTATCACTTGGTTACCTTATCGAGTGGACAAGCTGAGAGCTCTGTAGATGAATCTGAAATCCAAAAGACTGGTTGGTAGGAAAGATGGTCCAATGTGGAAGCGGAATTTCCTAGAATGCATGGAAGCGAAGATTTTTTAAATGTGAAGCTTTGAGTCGTGTAAAACTGCATGTACAATCGGACTGGGAGAGCGTGACGAATTGAGCTGTATCAAGACCCCCGGGAGACAGACCCTACGATAAGTAGGGCGGGGAAGAGACATGCACCGTCTTCAATCAGATATTCTGGTTGAATCGCGTGAGCGGTCGAGGTAACGACAACATGCCAACACAACAAGCGTGTTCTTATACACTCGGTGAGATTGGAAATTGGCAGTATAGATCTTGACTTTGTTGTGCAAGCGAGGAAGGAACGTGGGTGAATGCATCAGTGTGCTCATACACTCTTGTCGTCACGCTGGAACAGAGATTTCGAAGTTCATTTTCAAAGAAAACTTTTTCCTAGAATCTTTGATCTTTTCCAGCAAGTGGATGTATTCTGACAAATGAGAGGCACATGGGTAGTCAGCTCGACGGACAAAGCCTGTGGTGCTTTTTTCTTGTTTTGAAGAACGTTTCAGTACGCTACATAACTCAAAGGCTGATAACAAACTGATGAACTTTTTGGGAGTTTACTAAACTTGATGTTAAGATAAGAACATGATATACAACATGATATACAGAGTATACGAGTACTGTACTCGAGGTTCTAAACTCCTGGTATGATTGTTCTTCTAGCTCAACTGTCAAGCATGCACAGTTTTGATGAGGTCTGTCGACGTCAAACATTAATATGAATCAAATTTTGTCCGTGCTAAAAGCAATCCTGCTTATTTTTCACATCATATAAAGCAAGATAGAACCAATATGATACTTGGTAAGGTCAACGTCAATCGTCAAAGAAGTTAGATTGTTGGAACTAAACTTGCAAGAGAAGAAAAACTGTGTTGTTTACCCAATTTTAAAAATACTTCATATGATTAATGTTAGATAAGAATGAGTCATGACTTGAGATAAAGATCTCGCTTAATATCTGAAAGACAAGATTAGTTTACATGGAAATTCAAATATTTGTATATTTTCTGAAATGAAACAAGTCATAGTGCAAATTTTGCACCCGTATGCTCTAATCCAAAGATGTGAAATGAGAAAATTATATAACAATCTATATAGATAAAAATCATTAAAAGTAAACTGTATTTTTATGTGTAAATCATATTCACGTCTATTTTTGTTATAAGAATTGAAATTGTGAATACATACCTTTCTATAAGATGTGTAGTATGCTTTGCATCTATATTGGATTTATATCAAACGTCAAATTGAAGACATAAACAAGCTCTTATAATTGGTTTCTGAAGGTGTAATTCGATGAAAGGAAAAGTATTACATTTCTCATTAAATTCTTAATTGTATTAAAGATTTTGAATCTACAAATCTTTATCTCTTTTCGTCTTGAAAAGCATTTGGCCTTTGGGATTCTAGGACTCTTTCATTTAGGTGCATCATCAAGAAAAATTGAACAAAGTTATCCTTTGATGATGTATACAACTCACGTGATGAGACAAAACGGTGGATGTTTAAGAATTTATTACTAAAGTTCAAACAAAGATATTATCATAGCGTCATCAGTAATTCTTTTAAATGTATTTCAACAAACCTACACATATCAAAAACTTTTGTTTCATTTTTCATTCAAGTTAAATGTACCTGGAAAGATAAAATGTTAATGAAATAATCAATTGATAACTTTTATTAATGATCTAATTCCGACCTCATTCAAGTTGGAAACGAATATTAGAACAACATACGTGATCTGGAAAGATCACAAGCAGCTTTGGTAGCAACTGACAATGTAATAGACACGATATTTTTTATTTTTTTTTTTCATTTTCTTTGATTTGTTTGTTGTGTTGTAATAACCCACTAAAGGCTAAAACTGCAATATAGTGGTAGAAAGGTCGAACCCACAAGGACAGAGGAACACACAAGGTACAAAGTGTCACGTTTAACAGACTATTGAGGAGTTTGAATTCTCAGGCGACTGTCACTCCCAGAAATACTGCAAGTGTCCACTCGGAGCGCACTCGGAGGTCGCACAGTGAAGCGTAACACACACACACACACACCTTAAACTACAGAAACACAACCCAGAGATCCGTTAGGACCTCTACTCAAGATTTCAGGGGGGAAGGTCTCTCAAGAGTACACTCAGCGAAGCTGCGGGTAGTGACTCCCAACTCCGGCTTTTACAACACTTCCACTAGCTTGCTGCTAGCGTAGGAAACCCGGTTTGGATTGCCTACTTCGGATCGAAGTCACTCATACGCGGTGAACAACACTCTCATCTCACAAAACGCGCAGAGAACACAGGTCCGCACTGAAGGACTCACTAAGAAACATTCCAGTAACACACCATAACAGTCTATTGAAGAGTTTGAATTCTTAGGCACTTGTCATTCCCAGAAATACTACAGGGGTTACCCTCAAGGCACCTGCTGCAGCGTAACCTGAATTTACAACCAAGGCTTACACGAAGTAGCAAAACTTCACTTTGGCATTCAGGGGAAAAATCCCGAAGGAGTACAATCAGGAACAAACACTCAAAGGTGTAGGGGCGAAACTATTCAAGTATCTAACTAGTCACTGGCTCTGAGCATCGGCAATCACCCGCAGGTGTAGATCCGAACTACTCAAGTCTCTAACCAATGTACTAGCTCTGAACATTCGGCCGAAGGCCTTCAGCTACACAATGCGGATCGCTAAGGTGTAGCTCCTCGTGCGTGGTGACAGAACTAAGGACACAAACACGCAGAGAAAATGAGTTCCTGATCTGCACTTCTGATGTTGGGAAAGATCACAAGGCAAGACGCCTTGAACTATTTTATACCTTCTAAGTCCTAACTAACACTTGTGGTAACCCACTTTTTGTTTTTTGTCGGAACTAAAACATTTTTGAATAGTAAGTACCGCGGCAGCAGCTGTAAATAGGAATCGGTACGCGAAACCAGAGTAAAAAGAGGATCGAGGACAGTCAAGGGGTTTTGGGCTTAGGCCACAGTGGGACGCTTGGGACGGAACGGGCGGTTCATGCTGCAGGATCAGCTTGGAGCACCTTCGGCGGTAGATCACTCATAACTTTCTCAATTCGTAACGCCTTGAGATGTTTCGGGTCTTGTTGGAAAGAGCTCGCGACGCTCGTTCTAACGAGCCCAAGAACTTGTGAAACGGATGAGAGGTCACTGAGTTATGAGTGTCGGAAGTTACTGATGGGGGGGGGGCCTTCGGCGGTAGAGCGACTTTGGCGGTACGCCTTCGGCGGAAGAACCGCCGGAAGATGCGCCTTGGGCGGTAGACGCCTCCGGTCAACGCCTTCGGGTCAACGCCTTCGGCGATACAGGAGAGTGCATTCGGCGGAAGAGTGAAACCCTCATAACTTTCTCAATGCGCAACGCCTCGACTTGGTTCGGGTCTCGTTGGAAAGAGCTCGACGCGCTGATTCTAACGAGCCCAAGAACGCCACGAACGGAGGAGAATTCCGGGAGTTATGAAGGTCGCAAGATACTCAGCTTTCCGCCTGTGCACAGGCGAAGAAAGTTTTGTCCTATGCGCGGACGAAGGAAGTTCGCCTGTGCACAGGTCACCTCCACACGTGCCGCCTGTGCACAGGCGCTTCGGCGTCGGCGGGAAATCCGCCTTGGGCCCTAGAAATGCGCCTTGTGAGGTAGAAAGTGTACGGCGCCTTCTGCGCCAGCTCAGCGCCGCGGACGGACAGCTCAGCGCCGCGGACGGCCAGGTCAGCGCCGCGGACGGACTGTGGATAGGCGAACGCCTTCGGCGGAAGAGGAAAACCGACATAACTTTCTCAATTCTTAGCGGTTTGACTTGATTCGGGTTTCGTTGGAAAGAGCTCGACGCACTGATTCCAACGAGACCAAGATCTCTTGAAACGGATGAGGCATCACCGAGTTAGGAGCGGCGGAAGTTTCTGATATGGAGGGCCTTCGGTGCTAACATTTAGAGGGGCCTTCGGCGTTAACACTTAGAGGGGCGGCTGACGACGCGGACGCCTGTGCACAGGCGGACGGCCTGTGCACAGGCGGGTTGCAAGTAGGCGGCCTGTGCACAGGCAGGCCTTCGGCGGAAGGGTAAAATCGACATAGTGTTTTCAATTCTTAATGGTTTGCAGTGGTTAGGGTCTCGTTGGAAAGAGCTCGCGACGCTCGTTCCAACGAGCCCAAGAACGCCTGGGACGGATGGGAATTTAGGGAGTTAGGACTATCGGAAGATACGTAGACGTTCTACTTCGGCCCTAGATGTTCGCCTTCGGGGTTACGCTTCCGGGAATTCCGCCTTCGGAGGTAGGGAGATCGACTTTTGTCCGATGCGCGGACGGACGCCTTCGACGGTTGCAGGCCTTCGGCGGAAGAGTAAAACAGTGATAACTTTCTCAATTCTTATCCGTTTGACTTGGTTAGGGGCTCGTTGGAAAGAACACAACACGCTCGTTCCAACGAGCCCAAGAACGTTACAAACGAAGCAGGGATCCGTGAGTTATGGGCGTCGGGATGACTGTTAGAGATTGACAAGGTGTGGAAGTGCGTCTTTGGCGGTTGGACGCATTCGGCGGTGCGCGGAAGGAGATTTCCTCCGGCGAGGATCGGGTGGTCATGAATGTAGAATGTTCAGGTGTGGCAGTGGCGGCTTGCGTGTAGGACGCGTGGGACCCACAGTCCTCGGATTTTGGAGAAGGAATTTTGGCCTAGGTTCAGAGATCTTGCGGGGCCCATATCTTTGCGATGGACGGTCGGATGGATCTGAAATTTTGTGGGTCCGTTGATCTCGGCCGGCCACGCATGCCTGCAAATTTTCAGCCTCAGATCTTGGATGGTAAGGCGCTGGCGGCTCTGTACAGTAGGCTTAGGATTCAGATTTAGGGTTAGGGTTAGATTTAGGTTGTAAGTTAGAGGGGAAGGCAGCCGCCGACTCCTCAGGTGTAGGTTCTGTTGCGGCTCGCACCATGGTAGTGCAGTGTAGTGTTAGGTAGGACTTAGAAGGTATAAAATAGTTCCAGGCGTTTTGCCTGGGGTTCTTTCCCATCAGAAGTGCAGATCAGGAACCCATTTCCTTTGCGTGTTTGTGTCCTTGAGTTCTGTCACCACGCACGAGGAGTTACAACTTAGCGTTCCGCATTTTGTAGCTGAAGGCCTTCGGCCGAATGTTCAGAGCTAGTACATTGGTTAGAGACTTGAGTAGTTCGGAACTGCACCTGCGAGTGAC